TTGTCAAGTCCATTTTGATGCATAATTCAAAGAACTAGTTATGGCTGATAAAGCATCATATAAATTTGGTCCAATGAGCTGAAAGATTCTTCCAAATACAATACAACCCCAGTATCCACAAGGGTTACATTCCTGGATTTTGCATATTTATTTATTTATTTAAAACTTTTATATCCTGACCTTCTCTACCTCCGTAGAGGGACTCAGACCGGCTATCAGCAAGGATTCAATGCTAACAATACAATCTAAAACATCGTACAACAACAATAAATTAAAATACATATAGACTAAAATACATAAAAGCCAGTTCGTCAAGATAAAATCATGTCCCACTCAGTCCGCATACATGGTCGATAACTTTAGTCAATTGTCAGTTTCCGCCATCATTCTGGGAATGCCTTGTTCTATAGCCAGGATTTCACTAGCTTCCTGAAGGTCAGGAGAGAGGGGGCAGATCTGATCTCAATCAGGAGAGAGTTCCATAGCTGGGGGGGGGGGGGGCACTACAGAAAAGGCCCTGTCTCTCATCCCCACCAGATGCAATTGCGAGGGTGGTGGGATCGAGAGCAGGGTCCCTCCAGAAGATCTTAACAGCCTTGATGGTTTATAGGGGATAATACATTCAGATATGTAAACTGGGCTGGAACCGTATAAGGTTTTGTAGGTTATAACAAGCACTTTGAATTGTGCTCGGAAGCTAATTGGCAACCAGTGGAGCTGGCGCAACAAAGGAGTTGTGAGCTCCCTGTACCCCGCTCCTGTTAGTAGCCTGGCTGCCGAGCATTGGACTAGTTTCAGCTTCTGGGCAGTCTTCATAGGTAACCCCACATAGAGAGCGTTGCAGTAGTCTATATGGAATGTAACTAGATCGTAGACCACCGTGGCCAAGTCAGATTTCCCAAGGTACGGGCGCAGCTGGCGCACAAGCTTTAACTGTGCAAAAGCTCCCCTGGCCACCTCCGAGACCTGGGTTTCCAGGCTCAGCAATGAGTCCAGGATCACTCCCAAGCTGAAAACCTGTGCCTTCAGCATAGATACCTCCCTGCCTTCCAAATGCAAACTCCATTGAAATGAAGAGCTTCCAGCCCAATAATACCATAGTGTTGGACTAGAGAACCTAGAAAAATTCCATTTTTTTGGAAGTGGATAAATAAAACCATAAGTTCTGACCCTGTGGATACAGGGGTTGTATTGTTTACCTGGTTGTGGCACTTGCTTCCAAAGTAGATTGAGCCTGGGCTCCTTTGGATTGTTATACTCAACCCAATGCTGGAATTCTGAATAGAAAAGATTTTATCTATAAATCTTTTCTGATTAGAAACCTCCATAATTGGTTGACTCTAATGATCCAAGGTTTTTGAATGAATACACTGACTGGACTTTCAAATGTTTTAGTGTTTATTTATGAAGGGTATGCATTTTTTCAACTGGTGTTTCAATAGTATGATGAATGGAGTTCACATTTTAATATGCGTCACCGATAATCTTGTTATCGCAACATTTTTAATGATGTTGTACAAAGCTTGCCTCTCGGTCCTGGGAGAAAGACAGAATAGAAACCAAAGAAACACAATTAGTTTGGTGATAGCTCTGCAGACCTTCCTTGTCCCTCAAGCTCCTTGAATGTAGAAATAGTCTCCTTTGCTTCCTGATCTGCCTAGTGGGCCATCCCAAAGAGAGATGGGAATCAATGGGAAACCAGCAGCATGAGTTACATGAAGTATATAATATATCTCCTTTCCTTGATTGCTGTAGATAGAGGCCGAAAACCCTGAAACAGAAGACCTAGTCGGCATGTGTGTGTATGTATGTGTGTCTTACTACAAGGTGGCAAACCCCTTTGACCGAGACTATTGTCCCTCTCCTTTCCTATATCTCTCTTATGCTCTTATTGTAATTGTGCTAGTTTCAGTTTTCTTGGGGTTAGAAAGAGGGTGGATGAGCATGAAAGCTTGCATGCGCATGTTTCATTGCTAAATGATGCGCCCGGTCCTCCTCCGCCATGGGCTGTCAAAAAGGCTGTCTTTCCTAAGCACGTTGTTAATGAATGCCATCAAATACATTCAATTTCCTCACCAGCCTCCTTCTGTGTCTTATAAAAATGACACATGGAATTGTCTGCGAAATTATATATTTCTATCCCAGCTCTCCGGTCTCCTAATCACTTGATCGGTCCGGGGAGCACTTTACCAAGGTGGATAGCAGAAGGGCCAAAGCAAATGAGGGGTTGTGAAATTATCTCGTTTCCTGGACCTGCATTTGGAGCATGACCTCACTTGGGAAGGTGGAAGTTCAGTGCCATTCATCCGTTCTTCTACTTGGCACGAGTGGCCATCCTGGGAGATTGTCTTTTTCAGTATTTCTATGTACTCGAGATGTCTGGATTACATCTTAATGATAAAAGTGAAGCCATTTGGTTTAAGCATCAAGGATATTTAGTTGTGCTAATGCACATTGTTGTGACATAACTTATTTTCCTTGAACATAGACCTAAACTTGCTCACTTCAGTCTGGGTATATATCAGGTATCATCAACCCTCCATCTTTGATGGTTTAACTTTTATGGATTTGATGAATATATTCTCTCTAGGACTCTCTAGGTCCTTCAGCATGACTCTATAATAGCAAGAAGTGTGGAAAAGTCAAGGAACTATCCACAGAGGGAACTACAACTGTGACTTGAAAAGACCTCCTGGCCTATGCCATTGTGCCTGGGGGGTATAACTCTTAGTGAAAGAGGCATGGACGTGACATCTTTCCCCCAGGGGATTGCTTCTTGCCCTCCTTTAGGAAAACTAGAACTCCCAAGGACCAAAACACTGTAGATAACTCAAAATAAATTTTATTGTTCACAAAGAATTATCCCTTTAAGGCAATAAGCTGGAAGTTTCAAAGGGGTAAAGGAAAATATACATTACAGTCTCTGTTTGTCTTGGGTCCAAGGAGTTTTGCAACTGAGAAGCTTTTCCAAGTCCCTCTTTCTCAATGGCTGTGAATATCAGAATAATCACAACCCCAATTCCAATGGCCTGTATTTTGAAGGCACAAAGCTTCCCTCTGGTGCCAAAGAACTGGTCTGAAGGCGCTTGAGGCTTCTCAACTTCGTCCAGGTTGATCTGAACATGAAGCATAAGTCTCAAGGGTAAGAACCTCAGAATTGGTGCTGAGAGATAACTTAATCAAGGGCTTCAGAGCCAAGTCTCTCTCTCACATCCATCTGATAGAAAGTTTGATGGTGGAATGGAAAAGGAAACACTGTCCTGCTCTCTAGGAAGAGGTGGGGTCAAACAATTGAGCAGGAGGAGCAATTTAACTGCTGCAAACAACATTGATTGACAGCTATAAAAACCAATCAATCCAACTCTACATTTACAGGGTAAAAAGGCAAAATCAGGCATGATACAACAGTTCAAATCCTGCAACTTACAGTTCTAGATACAGGTGGCACCACTCACGCCGTCACATGGCCAATGCCAAGGGCTACAGTTTGGAAAGGTTAAATTTCAGGCTACAGCCTCCAACATCTCCAGCAAATACCATTTTCCCATTCACTGGGGATGCTGGCAGTTGTGGCCCAGAATGTCATTTTCCAAGCTCAGTCTAGGACTTGGATGTGCCAATGATGTATACCCAGCAGGGGAGCGATCCCAGCAACACAGCAATTTCAACCACAGTGTTATAGCAGCCAATCTCATCTATCTACCATCCAATCCATTTAGTTATTCATTATCCTATTAGCGGCGATAATTGTGGTTCCTATTAACAATATATCCTCTGGGAGGTAGGCATGGGGGAAGGGACCCATAAAAATATTGAGAAATGCAAAATTAAAATTAAAAAGCAATTAAGTAGCTTTGGAATAAAGTTGGTAACCATAGCAGCCTGGGATCTAAAAAAGACTAAAATGTATTTTAGTAAAAAAAATGGAGAATCCTGGATATATTTTTACCACCCCCATATTCATATTTTCTCCTTAATCTTTTTATATTTGATAGCTAACGGAACCAGCATAAACTGAGTGTTGGTCTAAAATTCTGGAAACTAGGGTTCAATTCCACAGCTAGACACAGGAACCCATCTTGGGCAAGTCACACTCTCTTAACCTTTAAGGAAGGCAATGGCAAACCCATTCTGGAGAAATACTGCCAGGAAAACCCTAGGATTGGTTTACCATAATTTGGAGACAATTTAACATGTATAACAACAATAATAAATAACTGAAAGCCAATGTGGTATAGTGCTGTAAACGAGAGTTGCCTTAGCACTCCAGGAGACTAGGGTTGAAATTCCCACCTAGTGATGGAAACCCAGTGGGATTTCCACTCCCTGAGCATTGAAGGAAGGCAACGGCAAACCTCCTCAGAAGAAAACCCTATAGGTCTTAAATACCCTAAAGGCATCAACCCCATTTGAACTTGGAAACTAAATAGGGCCAGTTCTTGGATGGGAGGCCATCAAAGGATGGCAGATGTTGTGGGCCATATTTCAGAGGAAGGAACTAGCAAAATTACCTATGAATAGTCTTTGCGTTAGAATAGGGGTTCTCATCCTGTGAGTCACCAGGTTGTGAGTCAACCTGTGAATCCCAGAAATCCCAGCCAGTTTACCAACTGTTAGGATTTCTGGGAGTTGAAGGTCAAAACATCTGGGGACCCACAGGTTGAGAACCACTGCCTTAGAAGATCCTATGAAATGGTGTCACCCTAAATCAACAGGCAACTTTAAGGCATATATATGCAGAGTTGCCCTAAGTACAAGTCAATAGCAACAAGAACTATGTATCTCAGTTGTGCCTGATGAAGTAGGGAAGCTTAGAGAGAAGAAAAGTTGCTCTTCTGCGTCATTGTCATATTAGATTGAATAGAATTCTTTCAAAATTTCATAATGGTTGTTTAAAATTTAACAAGGCTTAACGTGGGATCTCCAAGTGTGTTGTCTCGTCTCCATCAATCACTGTATCAAACAATTGCTTCTGATTCCTTTCTGTCTTTCCCTTCCAGAACTTTAGAAACTGTCACTCAGAGATACCGGATGCGGGTGATTACCTGACCTGTCGCTACTCCCGCGAAGACCAGTATCTGACCAAAATTCCGTATGTCTATAGTCCCTTGTCGTATCTCCCAGAAGGTGTCCATCCATCCAACCACACCAGCACTTCTTTCTGCTGCCCACCTCCGGGTTCCCGGGCTCCTTATATTTGTCCCAAGGAGCAATATGTCTGAAAGGAGGACACACCACCAAGCAAAGGAGGAAAGCGTCCTTCCCACAGCTTCAACTTTCAGACATCAGCCAAGGCCTTTTTACCCCTTCACTTTTGTCTAGTGTGTGTGTGTATGTGTGTGTATGGACCCTATTTGATCCTCATCCCTTCATCCTTAATTTTTTTTTACTTTGTTGATGCCGTTGTTGAGATGTTTTGGTGCATTTGTACTTTCCATTATCAGATGGCTACAGTCCTAAATATATTTACAAGGAAGTATGGCTCACTGAACTCAATGGGATCTGCTTCTGAGTAAACATACCTAGGATTGTGCCATTAGCTTCTGCCTTGTTTGTTAAGAAACATCCTTTTGTTGTCCCTTGTACAACTCCCATTCATCCCTCATCTTGTCCCACCATCTTCTCGAACTTTGAGCCTTCCCGTACCGAAAAAACGTTGCACTTTTGTGCATCTCTGCGTATATACTACTGCCCCCGTACTGGATGGAATGTGTCGGACTTCACTTATCCTCTTTTCCGCCATTTTTCACAATTTGCACTATGGCTGAACATCAAGCGAGCCCTATATGCCACTTGCGAACACCCCAACCAAAATGGACATGTCCTGTTCCTCTCTTTTTCCGTACGTAACACTGTACGTCCCTTGTGATTTTGGAGCCCTGAGTCTGCATGCATTTCATCCATTCATGGAAATAAGAACCCTGTTTAGAGGAATGCAACCGGACACCATGCAAAGATTGTCAAAGAGGAAGTTCTGGTGATTTTCTCCATGCTGAAGAATGGCTTCAGGACTTTACCTTCGACCCTTTTTCATCCCTAGTTTTTTTTTTCAATTCCCATTTGTTTGACTCCAGAGGGAATTGAATCCAGAGAGTATGGACAGAGAATGTAAGACGGTAGCACACAGGAGTTTGATGGAAAACCATTCCTTTAATCTGGGACCACAAATGAAAAGCCCGGAATTAGAAAGAGAAAGGATATAGATAGATATAGGCTTTATTTTTTATTCTTTTCTATTTTTGTTCAGGGAAAAACAAAGGAAAATCTCTCAGTTTTGCTATGCACTTTTCTTTAATTGGAATTCAGAAATAAAACTCAGGCAGGTGTAAAAGAAGGAGGTTTTTCTTTTCTTTTCAGGAAACCTCCTTGCCCTTAACGAAGGATGAAAGCCAAGACAGGACTGAACCTTGGAAGTTTTGTTTTCTTTTCTATTTTCTTTTGGTTTACTTTGGTTTCCTGTTATCAATGCAATGAGCTTTTTTGGGCTGGCATGTTTCTATATGGAACGTACAGAAGCTGTTGGGATCATATGCATGTTCCTACAACCTCTGGTTGTTATATAGATAAGGAACTTCATCTCCACCACACTCCTTGGTCCATGTGCAATATAGGACTGTATGCATGAGGAGAAGGGGTGCTGAATAAAAAGAGAGAGGAGAAGTCTTGGAGAACCAACATGGTTGACAAGAAGTCTTGGAGAACCATGGTTGACAAGTCTTGGAGAACCATGGTTGATCTTGGACAACAAGGAAGTCACATGGAATGGATCCATCTTTGCAAAGAAATTTATCTGTAGTTGAGATTGTCTCCCTTCCCAACTTATTTGGTGTAGCCATCTGCCAGTGACCCACAAGGACATTGGCATAATGGGCATTCATCCCTAATCTCAAGATTCAGTATCCACAGGATGGAGAAGACCTGCGTGATGGAAGCTGTCTCAACCTAGAGTCAGAGTTTATTTTTGTACGTTCGGTTGGAGAAGGCTAACATTGCTCAATGCACTTTGGATCCCCGTGTACATTTCCATGCACTTTGGATCCTCACGTTGGGTTTCCCCTCACCCTCCATTTCCCCGCATCCTATCGAAGGTTTAGCTTGGTCAGCCCAGCATCGACACGCAAAGCTAAACTATCTTCACACTACCTCAGCCATTTCCTGCGAGCTTAAAGACAAAAAACACAACCACAAGAAGCCAAGAACCATGAAACCAAGAGCAAGATGGCAGCACTTCCTGCCAACACTGCCAAGTCCAGGCTTAGAGCATGGTTGCCTGATGCTGTGACAACATTTCCTGTCCAGGGCAGGATGTGGGCAAGCCATCTGAGGCGATGTCAATATCAAGACAAAAAAAAAGGTGCTGTCAGCTTCCCCCCGTCACCACCCCTCTCTTCCCCGAGACCCTCCTCAAGCGACGAAAAGGGAGCCAAGCCCTTCCTCACCCAAAGATGGTGGCAACATTCATGGTCATAGTGAAGGCTATGTTGGCCACAGTGTGGAATGTTCCTTTTGGGAAGGAGAAAAGATGTTTATGAACATATGTTAGCACTTTAAATATATGGCCCTGAATTAAATCCCAGCTGAATTGAAGTCATTCCAAACACCTTGTCGAGCTCTTTGTGTCTCCTCTCTTTGCCTCCTTTGATCAGAGAACATGAGCCTTGCCTTTCTTTAGTGAGGAACTCAAGGGTCATGGACTACAGTGATGGCCTTTCTTTCTTCACTTTAGGCCAGAAGAAATCCCTTGTATCCACAGCAGTGGAAGCATCCATCCAGAACTGAGTTTCCCAATAAGGCAGGGGTATCAAACTCATATTCACAGAGGGCCACATCAGTCTTCAAAGGTCTGTTTATAATTGTAGGTAAAGGTTTTCCCCTGACATTAAGTCAATTCATGTCCAACTCTGGGGGTTGGTGCTCATCTCCTTTTCTAAGCCGAAGAGCCGGCGTTGTCCATAGACGCCTCCAAGGTCATGTGGCCATGTGCATGACTGCATGGAGTGCCGTTACCTTCCCACCGGAGCAGTACCTATTGATCTACTCACATTTGCATGTTTTCAAACTTCTAGGTTGGCAGAAGCTGGGGATAAAAGTGGGAGCTCACGCCGTTCCCCAGATTCGAACCTTTGACCTTTTGGTACACAAGTTCAGCAGCTCAGCGGTTTAACCCACTGCGCAACTGGGGACTCTGTTTATAATTGTATCACTGTAAAAATATTGTCTTGGCATTGAAAGCCATGACATGGGGGAGTAAATTCGACCAATTAGCCTTGTTCTTGACATGTGTGTTCTAAGGGATTTAACACAGAGCTATTTTGCTATTTTTGCCATTATTTTTGCTATTTTTGGTTCTGGGAGCCACAGAAATTATCTTAGGGTCACCCATGATTGATATTTTGCCCACCTCTGGTTAGGAGGGTCACAAAGCATTTCCATTAGCTTTAGAGAGCTGCCCAACTGTTTGGACATCTGTTGCCCATGGATAACATCACTGCACCAGAAAGAATCCTTGAGAAGATGTTGAAGTCAATGGGTACATGCACTGGGGCTCTTGGTGCCATGAAAGGGATTGGAATGGCAGTGCCACGACTTGTGCAAATCCTGGTTCCACTTGAGCAGGGTTGATGGAAGATGGGGGGATGGGGACACTTTCTGGGTTTCTTCCACAACTGCCATGGTGACATGGGATCAAGAAAAACTCCACTGTCGCAAGGATGTTGTAAGTATTTATTTATTTATATTCTGCCCTTTTCACTCCTGAGGGGACTCAGGGCAGAGCACAATATATAAACAGCAAGCATTCCATGCCGGGACATATAATAACAATAAATATACACAACATTAAAATTTATTTATTTATTTATTTATTTATTTATTTATTTATTTATTTATTTATGACATTTATGACATTTATATGCCGTCCTCATACCGAAGGGGACTCAGAGTGGCTTACAAGATATATATATATATATATATATATATATATATATATACACACACACACACACACACACACACACACACACACATACATATACATATATACAATATATTATATTATTAGCATAGTATAATATCAGCATTAAATATTACTATATTGTGCTATACCATATGAAATGCAAAGATATAGAATGGAGGATGCCTGGCTCGAGAGCAGTAAGTGTGAAAAAGATCTTGGAGTCCTCATGGACAACAAGTTAAACATGAGCCAACAATGTGATGCGGTGGCAAAAAAAAAAGCCAATGGGATTTTGGCCTGCATCAATAGGAGTATAGTGTCTAGATCCAGGGAAGTCATGCTACCCCTCTATTCTGCCTTGGTTAGACCACACCTGGAATATTGTGTCCAATTCTGGGCACCACAATTGAAGGGATATGTTGACAAGCTGGAATGTGTCCAGAGGAGGGCAACTAAAATGATCAAGGGTCTGGAGAAGAAGCCCTATGAGGAACGGCTTAAAGAGCTGGGCAAGTTTAGCCTGAAGAAGAGAAAGCTGAGAGGATGTATAAATATGTGAGAGGAAGTCATAAGGAGGAAGGAGCAAGCTTGTTTTCTGCTGCCCTGGAGACTATTACGTGGAGCAATGGCTTCAAACTACAAGAAAGGAGATTCCATCTGAACATTAGGAAGAACTTCCTGACTGTGAGAGTTCAGCAGTGGAACTCTCTGCCCCAGAGTGTGGTGGAGGCTCCTTCTTTGGAAGCTTTTAAACAGAGGCTGGATGGCCATCTGTTGGGGGTGCTTTGAATGCAATTTTCCTGCTTCTTGGCAGAATGGGGTTAGACTGGATGGCCCATGAGGTCTCTTCCAACTCTAGGATTCTATGATTCTATTGTAATATTATTAGTAATATTACATGCAATATAAATACATAATTATGATATCATATTATTATTAGTAGTAATATTATATTGCATTACATTATAATACTATAAATATTATATGTATATACAATATATTACATTAAATTACATTATATTATATTATTAGCATAGCACAGGAGACAAGGTGGAACTTTGTTATATCTGCATTTAAAACCATCTCAAGACACCATGCTGGTTGTGGTCAGTAGAGTGAGTTTCCTATTATAGCCTTATTGCACTGTCCCAAAGGCTTGGTCCCACAGCCAGGTTTTTGACATTTTTCCAAAGGACAAGAGGGGTGAGGCTGATCTAATCTCACCATGAAGAGAGTTCCACATCCGAGGGGCAATCACTGAGAAGGCCCTGTCTCTCATCCCTGCCAAACGCCTCTGTGACAATAGCGGGACTGATAGTAGGGCCTCCCTGGAAGATCTTAGTCTTTATGGTGGCTAATAAATGGAGATGCGTTTGGACAGGTAAACTGGGCCGGGGCCCTTTAGGACTTTATAGGCCAAATGGGAGCTGCCATTGCGCAATGGGACATCTTCACGGAATAGGCCATCTTGGAAGGTGATAGGCTCTGCTTCTTGGCAGGGGGTTGGACTGGATGGCCCATGAGGTCTCTTCCAACTCTTTGATTCTATGATTCTAGTCTTTGAAGGCCTTAAAATAATAATAATATAATATTAAAACTTTATTTATACCCCGCTACAATCTCCCCAAGGGACTCGGTGCGGCTTATATGAGGCCGAGCCCAAAATACAGCAATACAAGCAATAACAACAACAATACAAGCAATCTAAAACAACAAAACAATAACATAAACATTATCAATAGGACAACACACTTTAAAATCTATGGGTAGGCCAAATGTAATTAAAATTAAAAAATAATGCTGGACATGGGCGAAAAAGTGATGGGGCGGTTTGTGGAAACATACAAGCAGACCTAAAACAATATAAAGTGCTTTGGAGGACAAAGTGCTATGGGATCATTATTCTGGGAAGGCACACTGGAACAACCACGTCTTCAAGCTCCTCCTAAAGACTGCCAGAGTTGGCGCATGCCTGATGTCCTTAGGAAGTGAGTTCCAGAGTCGAGGGGCCACCACTGAAAAGGCCTTCTCTCTCATCCCCACCAATCATGCTTGCAATGCAGGTGGAAGTGTGAGCAGGGCCTCTCCAGATGAAGAGATCGTGTGGGTTCGTATACAGAGATGCGGTCACGTAGGTAGGCGGGTCCCAAACCGTTCAGGGCTTTGTAGGTGAGAACCTGCACCTTGAATTGGGTCCGGAAGATGAATGGCAGCCAGTGGAGCTCTTTAAACAGGAGGGTTGACCACTCCCTGTAAGGAGCCCCAGTTAACAACCGGATGGGCATCTTAAGTGGGTGCTTTAGCTGTGTATTCCTCCGTGGCACCAGCATGGACTAGATGGCCCTTGGGGAACACTTCCAGTTCTAAGAGTGTATGATTCTATGGGCTTTTTAAATTATTTTTCTCAAGCAATGCCCTATTGCACCTCATTGCAATTCTCCAATCTGGCTGTGTATTATGTCAATGAGACGTCCTGCCATGATAACGTTGCACACTGCAGGATCTCTGCCTATATTAAAATATTTAAAACAGTCCAAATGCACATCAAGAACTTCAATAGTGCCTGGTAGGAAACAGGCAACCAGTGGAGCTGATGTAACATGAGAGTTGTGTGCTCCCTGTATGCCGCCCCAGTTATTAACCTGGCTGCCTTTCATTGGACTATTTGAAGCTTCTGAGCAGTCTTCAAAGGCAACCCCACGCAGAGCGCATTGCAGTAATCTATCCTGGATGTAAAGAACGCATGGACCACCATGGCCAAAAATGGTCTTCCTCGGAGTGCAATAGGAACAAATCCTTAGCAGTGTACTGCTGCTCCTGCCTTTTCTTGACCTATATCTAAATCCCACAAGGAGTTAATGTGAGAGTGCGAATGAATAAGGAGAGAGGGAAGGGTTTCCCGAAGTGTTAGATGCTTAGATTGACGAGCGCATTGCACATGTCTTTGCTGCAAGGTGATGTTTGACAGGCCTTGTCTGGCCCTGACATGCCGCATGGAAAACATCAAGGCAGGCTTGGGGCTGAGCGGCAAACGCTGCCGCTTCCTCCATCAATAGTTCAGAGAAGGGAGACAGTTCCCATTTAATTACATGCTCCACTACGGCCCATGAATCACTATGGCTTCTCTCACCATCGTTGGCACTGAGACCGCAGCGATCAAACATCCCCAGGCTCCACTCTGAGCGGTGGCCAACATAGGTTTATGCAAAGCATCTCCTGAGGAATCAAAGGCCAAGGAGGAAGGTGGTAGTAGGATCAAGGTCAGCATTTCTCATCCTGGGGGTCAAGACCCCAGGAGAGGTTGTGAGGAGGGTATCAGAGGGGTCGCCAAAGACCATCACAAAATACAGTATTTTCTGTTGGTCATAGGGGTTCTGTGTAGGAAGTTTGGCCCAATTCTATCATTGGTGGGGTTCAGAATGCTCTTATTATAGATGAACTATAAATCCCAGCAACTACAACTCCCAAATGACAAAATCAACCTCCTTCCCCAACCCCACCAGTGTTCACACTTGGGCATATTGAGCACCCATGCTGAGTTTGGTCCAGATCCATCATTGTTTGAGTCTACAGCGCTCTCTGGATGTAGGTGAGCTACAACTCCAAAACTCAAGGCCAATGCCCACCAATAATAATAATAAT